TCTGAGATCTAGCTGAGGAAGTGAGAGAGCCTGTAGATTTATTCAGATAACACATCCTTTCAGTGCAAGCTGAAAGACTTAAAGACCTTATCCCTCACCCTTACATGTTCACCCCACGCTACCCATCCAAGAAAGAGGGGACCAAAAGAAGCCGCCTTCATTCAGTGCAATGTGCAAGACAGTCTATATGCCTGTGTGCACTGCCCACCGCAAAGACTACTCAGCCTAATGAATCTTGTTCTGCGTAGCAGAAAGCCAATGCTGTTTGCTTCCATGAATCCTCCTGAGCGTTGAATTCCCACCAGACTCATCAGTCCAAATGCTGCAGGCTGCTGGGGTTGGGCAGCAGCACCCTTTGGCGTCTGTGGACAGGGACGTGCTGCAAGGCTGAAGAGGTAGGAGGAGGTGAGGAAAACTTGGCAGAGTTTGTTTGGACGGGTCATTTTCTCTTCAGCCCCGAGATCCTGCTGTATGGTCCCAGTGGTGGCAGGGGCAGTGCTGGATGATCTTCCACACTTTCTGCGAGGTTCATTTTGACTCCCGTACCACAGGGACTGTGCGGCTCCAGAAACGTGCACCCTTCCTAGCAAAGGAGGCCTGGCCACGTTCAGCAAATACATGCATCTAAACTCCAGAACCTAACAGCTTTCTCCCTTTCCGCGTTTTCTTTATCTGAAACAAGATAAAAGAAAAAAGAATTAACATCTCAGTTTCCCACATCCCCTTTATCTTCTTTCCTTTCCATCCTTTTTTTTTGCCCTGTTGCAGATGATGTTACTTCCACATACTCTCCATGGCAGCCCTTCTTTCCTGTGCTGACCCCACCAAGCACCTCCTGTCTGCTCTCTGTCACGCTCTCCTGCTCCCCAGTAAAATCATTCACATCCTCACCACCCCCCCCACCTCCCTCTACCACTTGGCCCTTTGACTGCATCAAGTAAATACTGACATTCCCCCCAGGCTCTGAGGGCAGAACTGCTTGAAAATGGACAGACACAAGCAGTTTCTGTGTATGCATGCACATGTTGGTGGGGAGAGAAAAGAGGAAGCTATAATGTCTCTGTTCTAGCTAGCAAAATCTCTAATGAAAAGAGGTTTCTGCAGTTTGTCTTCCTCATCCCCTGCTCTTTTCTAAGCCATTTCCTCTAGACCATTTTCATCCCTTCCTTCCATATTCTTTTCACTCCTGCAGAACAGCTCCTGTCTTATTCCCTTCAAGACGTTCCACTCCTGCCCCTCATCTAAATATACTCTATAATCCTACATACATGAACACAACCTTTCACGCAGTCTCTTCCCTCACACCTCGCTCCTTTTCTTGCCCCATTTCTCTCCTTAGCACTCTGCCCTGAAACACTGCTTGTCCTGTATCACCAACAAGGGTGCTGTGTTGCCCTTGTTGCTGGAGCAGTGGCTACTTGCAAGTTCAGCTACCTACCTGAGCTGAGTGGCTGCACATCAGCGGTTCAGAGCAGCCTTATCTTTTTTGCTTTTTAGTTATGACAATCCCCAGGTTTCCCCCGAGTGTCGCCAAGGGAGTGCAGCAGCTCCGTGTGTCAGCGCCACAGCAGGAAGGCCAGGCTTTGCAGGTATGGGGAATGCTGCAAGGAAAATTGTTTTGTTCTGCCTGTACATAGATGGCAGGGAATGGATGTGTGGTGTGTTTTCCTCCCTGAAGTCGGCCTGATGAAAGGATTCACCTGGGCTGCTGTAAGCTGTGGGTGCTCTGGGGCTCCTGGGGCAGCTGGTAGTCACATGAGGGTAGTCTGGGGTTCTCTGTACCACGTTGCCATATATGTAGTGTAGACATACTTGGTAAGATTGAAGCGGAGAAATGGAAACCTCCCATCTTTTAGGAAAACTTGAATCCAGTCTCAGTAAAAACTTTTCTTTTTCCAACCCTTCATAAGGTGACCGATAAAATGAGGTGTGCTTCGGTACTTATCTCTGTAAATAGCGCACCAAGGGCCGGGAGGTTGCTCGGCCAGCAAAACCAGGTCTCGTGCAAGAGATGGCAGTGACATACCTCCCACAATCTGCAAGCAGTAAGACTTCAGCTGTGTCTGGTGGTAAGTGATGCTAGGAGCTCTGCAGCCCACAGCAGCTCCAGACAGACCCTGCCCGCCGTGGTTAAACGACAAGGCCTCCCTCACGGCAGGCGGGACGCAAATACCTGCGGTGACGCAGAACCGGCCTTCGCGACTGACCGGGCAGCATCCGGGGATAGCGGGGCCAGTGGTGCCATAACCACCCCGTGGACCAGGCTGTCC